TCAAAAAAAAATTTTCGGCGGCGGCGCGTCTTATTGCACCCCCCCTGGTCAAATCCTGGCTACGGGCCTGAACTAATGTGAGACAATTTCGTTTTCCTTGTTATATTTGACACTTGTGACGTTGTGCAAAATTGGTTTATTTCTCTGTTGCCACCTATTGTACTTGATAATCTATTTGGTTAATACCCAGATTGCTTTAATTCTTGAGTTATCTTTTGTCGAAAGATAAAAGTCGAAATTGTAAAAAAAAGTAAAACAAAAATGAAAAATTTGTTTTTCTCACTTTCAAATATGTCGACATTGGAACCAAAAAACCGCGTCTTGAAACACTGATTTCAAAACTATGACAATCATAAACATTTGTTAACAAATTTTAAATGTTTACACTTGCACAATTGCTTTGTTTCATGTTTATTGAACTATTTAAAGTCATAACTATAGAGACTACAAGTTAACTTCCTATTCCAGAGTTTTCTGGTTATTACTGTAATAGGGAAACACGACATTTTTAGTGGAAATTTGCCTGAAAACTCTCTTCCTGATCAAACAATGTTCAAAATTTCAAAAAAATAACTTTATTTATAAATATAGCCCATTAGTGGTTCAAGGCGCAAGTTTAGAAAACCATATCGACATGATATTTTTTTAATCGACCTTCTTTAGTAATTTATGATTTTAAAAATGCTTGCGCTGGCCCATTTTTTAAAATTTCAAGCCGAGTCTCAAATCCCCCCAAAACCAGTTTAAATTGAGCGCTGGCTTAAATCTTGAAAAAATTTAATACAATATTATGTAAAACCAACCATATTTGAGCCCCGGCTTAAATTTAAGCCACGGCTCAAATTCTTTAAATTCGGCCTTTAGTTTATCAATTATCATCTACTTATATGGAGAAAAAAAAGAAGGATAAGAGAAAGTTAAAAATAAAACAAAAGTTTATTTGAAGAAAATTTAATGTTTCTCCTTTTTTACCTCATAACTCCATTCTTCAATAGTTCTGTTCTGTTATTAGATTTTACACAAATGCAGTAAGAAGTGCATTACTTTGAATTTGTTCCTGTGACCAATCAATTTGTGCCAAAAAAATGCTTCAAATTTTGAAATTAATTCATCATAATAAACCATTTAGTTATTCTTATCACTTTTATTAGAATCTATCAAAAGATGTTGAAATCTTATCTAATCAGCATCTCCATCAGATTTATAGATTGTCTCCATTGTCCATACTCCATTGTCATTTTAGGTTTTTAGATTAGCTCCCTTAATTAATTAATTAATTAATTGCAAATTAAAATGATATGATTTTATCTAGATATTTTTGTAAATTATAAAAACACAGTGTAAGCTTAAATGCTTTGTGTAAGCTCTCTAGCAGAGCTTATACAGGATTTTGCTAATTGCTCCAAATAACCTGACGCTAAGAACAGACACATCACAGTTTTAAAAGGCTTCAAAAAAGTACATAAAGTGAGTTGGTGAAGTAAAACGCAAGCTCAAGTTGTTGCGACACTTAGAAGTCGACGTGGTCTTAAAATCATGTGCATAACTAACAAAGTTGTCTAGATCTCTAAATATTAGCTATTTCTATCACTTTCTAATATTTTTATAGCAATTTCAGCAAGTTTTTCTAGGTTACATCAAAATATAGGATTTAGGTACAGGGTGTCCCAATAAACATGGAAATTTGCAGTGACGAATTCGATATCGTCTTTATAAATATAATTCTTTGATTTAGTATAGTGATACTTACTAAGGAAGCTGTAATCAGTAAAATTAATTGCTTTTGAAATTAGGTATTACAATGCTAATTCTTAACATAAACGATATCGAATTCGTCACTGAATTCCCATGTTTATTGGGACACCCTGTACTCCTACCAAGTGACAAATTTACTAAGTGGCATCTTCACAAATGTACATGTGAGGTTAGGTTAGGCCTTTTGAGGCGCAGCATGCCGAGCGCTACGGCTAGGACCGACTTGGGAAGTTGCCACTTCGGAATATGCCTTTGGGAAAGTACCTTCAATTATACCTAACATCAATATTCCATTTACAGTTCCCTATATTTGAGTTGACCGGTGTCTTAAAGGGACAGTAAAGGAAAAATGAAAGGGGGTATAGACTGAAAGCTAATCACTTTAGCTCTCGATCGCGACCCATGAAAGTTTTATCTGATGTTCCTATCTCGAGAAATTGATTTACAACTGTGTCAAATTTATACGAAAATTAATGTATATACAATTTTGTATAAAAGTAGTGGGTTTAAATAGATCAAATTCAGCAAATAAGCAACCAATCTGAAAACGATAATATCCCCGAGAAAGCTAATTATTACTTAGGTTTGCTCCAATTCTAATTTTATATTTGTTATTTCTATTTTTAATAGATTTAATTCATAATTTTATTTACACGTCTGAATTGCTTGACCAGAAAATCCACCAATGACAATGCAGTAAAGTGGTCACGTGATACAGGCAGAGACACGTGATCAGTATACTGCTCTGCCATTGGTGATAGTTCTGGTCACATGATTTAAGTTTAAGATTTTCTAAATTTTACATATATGAACTTTTGTATCATTTTAACACAGTTTTATATCAATTTCTCGAGATAGTAACATCAGATATAACTTTCATGGGTCGCGATCAAGAGCTAAAGTGATTAGCTTTCAGCCTATACCCCCTTTCATTTTCCCTTTACTGTCCCTTTAAATAAACTATTGTAAAAGTTTAAATTATAAAGATTTATTAAGAAAATACATAATTAGAAAAGATCTAGTCATCCCTCCATTCCTCCTGATCTCTAGGATCCTCCTCCAGCATGGGGCCAAGTTCTTCAAGTAACGTTTCAAATTGTCCATCTTTAGCCATAAAAAGCTCTGTGAGACTCTTTTCAGCTCCTAAAAGGTTTGATGTAAAACCTTGATTTGAGCATCTTTTAGTTCATTTTTCATCAGCTCCTGCAAGCATTCTTAATGGGAATTCAGGTCAGAACTCTTTCCTAGCTACTTGATGAGAGGGTGATGTTTGGCCGGTGTCACGCGATAAAGTGTCCAGGCGTGAAATAATGACCGGGGACTGTGTTTAGGTCATAAACATCAATTAAAAAATATCTAAATTTATCAAATAGATTCGTTTACATTTTAAACGACTAATTTTTACATAACTTTTGAATGTGCAAGGGATATAAGTTAATTTATTTATGTCTTTAAATTCTTTGAAAAGAAAACGACATTCGAGACGAAATTGTGGTATTGTTACATTTAAAAACTAATTCAACTTTTATGTTTATACGTTCAGAAGATGATTATCAATGCATCCACAATTCGATATTGTGGAGAAAGTGTTCAAATCATCAAGCAGTGCCCCTCTACCCGGGCATTATATCAAGCAGTGCCCCTCTACCCAGGCATTATATCAAGCAGTGCCCCTCTACCCGGGCATTATATCAAGCAGTGCCCCTCTACCCGGGCATTATATCAAGCAGTGCCTCTCTACCCGGGCATTAAATCAAGCAGTGCCCCTCTACCCGGGCATTAATCAAGCAGTGCCCCTCTACCCGGGCATTATATCAAGCAGTGCCCCTCTACCCGGGCATTATATCAAGCAGTGCCTCTCTACCCGGGCATTAAATCAAGCAGTGCCCCTCTACCCGGGCATTAATCAAGCAGTGCCCCTCTACCCGGGCATTATATCAAGCAGTGCCTCTCTACCCTGGCATTATATCAAGCAGTGCCCCTCTACCCGGGCATTATATCAAGCAGTGCCCCTCTACCCGGGCATTATATCAAGCAGTGCCCCTCTACCCTGACATTATATTAAGCAGTGCCCCTCTACCCGAGCATTATATCAAGCAGTGCCCCTCTACCCGGGCATTATATCACTCTCGGATTGACGCCTCACCTGTCTTCTAAACGTTTCTTGACAATCTCTGAAAAAAGGAAAAGTTACATCGTCTATATGCAACATCCCCCCTACTAAACTTCTGACCTACTACAATATCGGACCTACGCCAGCTGTTTTTTGTATTATTTGAGGGTTAGGTTAGGTTAAGACAATTTCTGGGCCGAGCACTGTGGCTAGGGGGCTGAACGCCGCCTCTAGGACAGGCTAGGGGGCAGGGCGCTGCGGCCACAAGTCCACATAGCAGCTGTAAAACCACGTGATAGTAGGTCGGATGGATTTGTTGTATAGCGGATTTGGCGTAGGTCAAAAGTGTAGTATAGCGGATTTGCGTAGGTCGAAAGATACACCATCAACTGTATTTGTTCTATTGTTGAACAGAACAGTCTTTTTCTAAATTCTCAGTAAAGAAAAGATATTTCCTCGACCGTGGTCCGGGCATTTTTCTACAAATCTGAAAACTCGCAAACAAAATTGTTTAAGATTTTAGATTTTATTTCAACATTTACATAGTTAGATATTTTTCAAATAATTTATAAAGTTGATAGAATAAAACTAGCAAAGAAACTTTAGCTCAAATATAAACAAATTACTTTCGAACCAAATTGAGAATTTCTACTTTTAAATTTCAAGATAAAATATGTTACTTATATATTTTGAGCTTCCAGGGACTGAAAGGGTAATTTCAAGTGACCCTCCATTCAGAAATGTTTACGCCCGATTCACAACGGCACCCTTAAAAGCTTTGTCTGATCAAGTATGAATTAGATTATATATATTATAAACGGGATATCATAATTATCAGAAATTAATACTTTCAAATGAAGAAACTACAATGTCTTCCACATTATTGATCAGATAAAGGTTTCAAGGGTACCGTTGTAAATAGGGCATTGCCATCTTAGCATGGAGGGTCACTTGAAATTAGGGCTGGGCGCGTTCCTGGTGGAACGGTTGTTCTCTCCCCAGAAAGAACGGAACGATCAAGAACGCGTTCTTAAAAATAATAGAACGATTAGTAAAAGAACGGAACGGGAATTGCTTGAAAAGAACGGTTAAATAAGAACGGAATGGAACGGGAAGACCGTTTTTCTACTGAGAACGGAACGGAAAGGGACGGAACGGAACGAGAACGGAACGATAAAAAAAGAGGAACGAGAACGGAACGTTTTAGCTGATGGCCCTCGTTCTAGAACGGAACGGAACGATTTCAAAAAAGTCGGAACGTGCCCAGCCCTACTTGAAATTACGTTTCCAGTCCCTTTAATGATTATACTATTCTAAAAGGTTTAAAAATGCATAATAAAGATGGTTTGATGAAAACTATCTTGTTCTGCCGAACCAGTACGAGTAGGTCATCCAGTACGGTAGAACTCCATTGTAATCATCATCATTCCTGAAAAAGACAAATTTTTAATTTAAAATTTCTGAAAATACAAACGATATTTAACGTCAAAAGTCACTGATTTGCCTCTGAACAAATAAGATTAAAACTTAAAAGGGGGACGTACTTATACAGGGTTACCCACAAAAGATGAGATTTCAAAGACGACTGTACTTCATTTGTTTTTTAACCAAATTACAAAAAAGCAGCAGACCAAATTTAACCTTTATACCATCGCGCAAAAAATTGTCAACCTTTGTGGGTAGATAATTGTACTTTTATTTGACTTCCACTAAATAAAAATAAAAATATTAAATTTTTCCAGTGATCGTAAATTGAAAGTAAAACGTTAGTCTTTTGAAAATTTTATTCAATTTTTTTGATTATTTTCATTCTCTAAATTTTTCCAAACTTCAAAATTTATGACGAACATAATAGACGAAATAATTGAAAAAAATTCTGAACCAGCAAAATTTAGTTTTTCTTAAATCAACATCTTGAAGAGAATATTGTATTTTACAAAGATTTGAGTTTTTCCGGAAAAAAAATAATATTATCATTAAAAAAGGAAATTTTTATTTAGGGAACCCTTCAATCATCTCCAAAAATTAAATTTTCTTCAACCAAATTGTAAAAAAAAACTTAATAAATAGCAAACCTATTTTCCGTATCATGCTCAGAATTCTTAGGTTGACCCTCCTTCTCCCCTTGGTTCAACCCATCAACCTTGCCAGCTTCTGCTTGATCTCTTTCACGTGGAATACCTGCCATCAAAAGTATATATTTAAAGGGACTGTCACTGTAGTTTCAAGATACCCTCTATTCAAAGATGGCATTGCCCGATTTACAACGAAACCCTAGAAACCTTTATTTTATCAATAATTTGGAATAGAAAGGCGCAATTGAATTTTGTTGAGAAACCATAAATTGAAATTAGTTGGTTTTCAAAACTATAAACATTGATATCTAATTCACACTTGATCACACAATGCTTTTATGAGTACTGTTGTAAATCGGGCATTGGCATCTTTTCATGGAGAGTCAATTTAAATTAAACTTACTGTTTTCCCTATTTAAGATCTATGTTTAGAAACAATTGAAAAAAAATATAAATAAGGATGACAAGGTTTGTTTGCATTTAACAAGACAGCCCAAGAACTAGTTTTATTTCAAATCAAAGATTAAAAATTAGTCTTTCTTTGCAAGGGAGCTACAATTTACAATCACTACTTATTTTTGTTTGTTTACGATAAAGTTAGTTATCGAGCTGTCCTTATACGTCACAGGAGATTCAAAACAAGTAAAATATATAAAAAGTAAAATATATTAATATTTCTTGCCTGAATCATGGCTAGTTCCATTGACAGGTTTAATCCGAACAATAATCTCAGGTTGAACAAATGGTAGATTTGTCTGATTTCTTCCTTTGGATTCATTAGTTTTCTTCTCTGCATTCATCTTGGAAAACGTATTTGTAAACTCTTGCTGTACATTATGTACATGTTTATTTCCAGGATTTTCAGGACTTTGCTTTTGTGTTTTGGCAGGTTCTAGTTTAGGATGAATGCTATTGAATGGTCCAGATTGATCAGATACAGGATTAGGATCAGACAGAAGATTTGGGTTTTTGATAACAGTTTCATTCCTTACAGAGGGTGTCGCAGCAGTTCCATAGTCAGGAACATCCTCTTCGATTACTTGGATCAGATTTAGAAAGTTTTGGAACTGTACTTCTTGGCGTAAAAACATTTCTGCACGCGCATTTTCTGGGTCTGTCTCACTGCCATCTTGGTTTTCGCCTTCTTGATCGGGTGGAAGAACTGAATCCTTCTGGACAGATAAAATATTAGAAAAAAAACAATCGAATTAAAAACATTTTATGATACTATGGATTTTTAAGATTGAAATTTTTAAGTTTTAAAATCCAGGACTGTTCAGTGTTCAATTCAATCAGTATGTAAGAGGTCTAATAAAAATCTTTTTAGTTTTGTTCATCTTTGCTTTTGAACAAATTAAGAATAAGTATTATATCATATCTGTTCGGTTCCATAGTAGTAAACCTATCGTGTAAGAATTCCCATTATTACACGGTTCAGGAGGAACAATTTTAATATTGTTCGCTTTCTAGCGTTTAAGAATGCTTATTCTTACACTGTAGGTGTANATGTGCCCATGGAACCTCACAAATATGATATAATAATAATCTTATGAGGATAAAAATGTAATAATGGAATTCTTAAACGAGATGAACTAATCTTGATGTATTCTTTAACGAAGGCCGCATAAGATTATCATATTATTACCGTATAAAATCTCTCCGGATTCTTAAAAACGTCTAAATATTTTTTGTTTTAAAATTTCGAAAGCAATAAAAATGCCGGAAAACTGTTAGAGACAGAATAAAAACAAAATGACATTCCTATATAAAAGACTGGTTTTAACATGTACCTGCATAAATAAGTTTTTAGACTACCGGGATTAATGAAAATTGCTGCCTACCAAAAATATATTTTTTTCCGGGAAAATTTCATTGATTTTGCATTTTTAATTAGACAAATAAATAAAGTATATTTAAATTTTAGGAATTTTATAAAATGTATTTTTTGGTTTTTCACATTCCTAAATAATAAGATGTGACTTACTTTTGAACTATTTGTTGATATGATGACGGGATTTGTAACTCTCGTTTCAACTAAAATTTTAATAATTGTCAAACATTTATAATTCATGAAAACAACGGTAAAAAATAAATAGTTAATAAAACCGGGATTAGCGTTGGTTTACAAAACTCTAAATTTACAATGTATTGATCAAAATGCAACAATGTTTTAAGTAAATAAAAAATCCGTTTCTGCTAAAAAATCATTTATTGTACACAGTACACTGTACAGTACCCTGTACAGTCGTCGTCGTATCATTCAATACAATGATAACGAATTTCGGTTTTAAGTTTTTATTTTTATAATGCTTTCAAACAGCATGGATACACATGGATAAGAAAACAAAAAGAAGCTGTCAGGTAACAGCTTCTTTTTGTTTAATTGTTAACTTGCAATTTGAAAAAAAAGCTTATAACAAAAAATTGTTCAAATCTGCACCAAATCTCAAAAATTAAAACACCAGATTTTTTAAACTCTTTTATTTCTTTAGAGATTTATTTTATAATAGACTAGAAATTTTCTAATTGATTTCTACAAAAAAAAAATTCAGAAAAAAGAGTTTTTCAGATTTTCATTTACTCTCTGATAACAGATACATTTGCATTTGGTTCATTTTATTTCGATATTATTCCACCTAAACCATGAACCCTTCATTCATTATTAATTATGCTTTGTAAAACAACGCTTATCCCGGTTCATTTTATTAACCCTGTAAAGTATACTAATACAAAACTAGACCTTGGTTACCTTTTGCATAATCTATAGGCTTTGTTTACCTTATTGTGTTATGTATATTCTAGGCCTTGTTTACCTGGTTGCCTTATATCTATTCTAGGCCTTGTTTACCTGGTTGCCTTATATCTATTTTAGGCCTTGTTTAACTGGTTGCCTTATGTCTATTCTAGGCCTTGTTTACCTGGTTGCCTTATGTCTATTCTATGCCTTGTTTACCTGGTTGCCTTATATCTATTCTAGGCCTTGTTTACCTGGTTGCCTTATGTCTATTCTAGGCCTTGTTTACCTGGTTTCCTTATGTCTATTCTAGGCCTTGTTTACCTGGTTGCTTTATGCATATTCTAGGCCGTCTTTACCTAAATGTCTTGTGCTTATTCTAGGCCTTGTTTATCTGGTTTCCTTATGCCTATTCCAGGCCTTGTATACCTGGTTGCCTTATGCCTATTCCAGGCCTTGTTTACCTGGTTGCCTCATGCTTATTCCAGACCTTGATTACCTGGTTACCTTATGTCTATTCTAGGTCTTGTTTATCTGGTTGCCTCATGCTTATTCCAGACCTTGATTACCTGGTTGCCTTATGCCTATTCCAGGCCTTGTTTACCTGGTTGCCTCATGCTTATTCCAGACCTTGATTACCTGGTTGCCTTATGCCTTTTCCAGGCCTTGTTTATCTGGTTGCCTTATGCCTAATTTAGGCCAATTGTTTACCTGGTTTTCTGATTAATAAACTGAGAAGAATTAGCAGAATACGGAAATGAACACTCCTAAATTAGAACCAGGATTAGATTGAATAATATTTCTTGAACGTATGTGAATGTATCAGAAAAAATTTAATGATTACAGTGGGTCAATATATTTGGTTCCATATAAAAAGGTAATCTCAAGTGACCATCCCTGAGTGGCCTGGCCGACTTACAACGATAGTCTTCAAACCTTTGAGTAACAATGAGGAAGATATCGTCATTTCTCACTAATATTTTGACAATTTCCTTGATTATCTTCGCATACAACCGCAAGCTTTTATTAATAGAAAAAACCATAATTTTAAATATTCAAATGTTAGCTCCTCTTTACACGTTTTGTCTAACTAAGAAAGAACGAGATATCCTTATTTTCTAAGTTAAAATTGATAATTGTGAAAGTGACTTGCAGTGGATTTTTGGTTCAAAGACAATTGAAGACATTGTGAAAATTCAACATTTTTCAAAACAAAAAAAAAACCCAATTATATCTTGCTTATTGTGTGTCAAGAAGATTTGATGGTAATTAAAATTAATTTGAAATTAAACCAATGCTTTGAACAAATCCTCTTCATTTCTCCGTGTCAAGGCTTAAGGGGTTAAATTATAGCTAAACACTTTGCTTGCTTAGGTTAGGAATAAATAGAATGCTTCCAAATACCAAAACTTGAAAATAGTTTCTGTAAGAGAATCTTCCGGGTTTCCTTCCTGGGATTTATTCCTTTTTATAGAATTTTATTAACAATAAAATTAAAAAGCTAATTCAAAAGTAACTATCTGGTAATGCCCAGTTTACAATGGTTTCCTTGAAACCTTGATCTGAATAATAATGTTAAAGATATTGCTGTTAGATTTAAAAGTGGTTAATTCTAATAATTCTCTATCATGTTTTCCTGCAGCATAGAAATGTACAAGTCACTTTTGAAGATAAATCACAATTGGATATATCAATATCATAAACATCGAAATCAAAATCATAATATCATGTTTTAAAGGCCGGATGTTGCCAACTTTTTGCATAGAGGATCATTTGAAATTACGCAGTTATTCCCTTTAAGTTAAAAAGTGTAACTTGAATAATACAGAAAAAAAATATTTACAATTTACCTCATTATTTCAAAATAAGATGTATGTCTTCAAATTCACTTTCAGAAATCAGATGGATTATATTCGTTTAAAATTGTACAATGATCAGATTTGTATGTTGTACAACTGTACAGTTTATACCGTACACCTCAGTACATCCTACGTTAAGATGCACCCTGAGCTAAAAACTTAAAAATATAAAATAAACTGAGTTTAAGAGTTTGTTTTTGAGTTAAATATTTGGTGTGTAAAAGTTTTAAGGACGTTTTTTTAAATAATAAAAAATCGACTTACTTTATGTATTTCAGGATGATTTATTTTTCAAAAAAATTCAAAAATATCATTAAATGTCCAAGTTTAGTAATTTCAAAAGTTTCATCAATCCAGGCCTTTATGCCAAATTTCTTAAACATGTTACCATAGGTACAACTACAGTTCGTATCTATTTATCTACACTGCTACCTATACACCTATATGGGAATGACTAAGAAATTGGGCAAAAGAGTACACACGAGTTCAAAACATCGATGAGAGGAGATGGTGAGAACATAGAAGGGTTTGGTTTACGGCAACATATTTGGCCGGCCGGCCAGAACAAAAACTTTAAATCGATTTTTAAAAATTTATTTCAAATATTGGATTAGCTTCTAGTAGCTAATCGATTGTTGTAAATTATGACAAATATTAAATGGGTGGAGAGAAAAAATAGAACGCTTTAATAATACAGTGGTAGGCGATTATATTAATACAATGAAGACGACTTTTTTCTAAGTTTTGATTGTTTAAAAGCTTATTTCGAATAACAAGTTTACAAGTAATCAAAAAAAGGTTTTGTAATGGACAGATACTCTTAACTTTTATGTTTATGTGTATTCACATGCCGTTTAAAAATTTAATCTAAAAATAAGCTGAAATCGAAAGTCGTCTTCATTGTACTGATATACTTTGGAAAAAAATGGTTTTCAATGTCTTCTTCCATATACTGTATTACTATTAGATATCAAAGACTTCCATGCAGTTTACTTAATTTCAAATAATCTTATACTCAAATGTATTTTACTTCAAAATCATATGACTATATGACTGCAATATAATATTTTTATTATTATTTTTTGGCATCAAACCATTTAACAAATCATGTAAGAAGACATTTTAAAATATTTGCCAACTGTCATGTTTCGTGGGACACCCTGTAGTTAAATTTTCATTAAAAAAGTGGTTATTTTTTAGTAAAAAGAATGCTTTATACATGGGTATATTTTTGTGTAAAACTAAAATGTCGTCATATTTTTTAATTAGAAATGTTATACTTTTGAAAAAAATATGGTTAAATTTTTAATAAAAAATGATTATACAGGGTTACCCACAAAGATAATATATAAGAGACGACTGTACGGAATTTATACTGTCTGTTTCCCTATATTCAAGACTCCCTGCAACTGTAATTTGGTATGTAGAGTTTCAGATCGTCTTTACATTCTCATGTTTTATGGGTAACCCTGTATTTTTGTTTAAAAAAATATTAACACCGAAAGTTACTGGTCTTAATTAATATCCAATATATGGTCTACATGGTCTAACATTTTTGCTCCTTCCAAAATGACAGATATATTCAACAGATTTGTTCATATTCCTGTCGTTATCTGAAGAAATTCAATGTTTAATATCCCGTTAACCCTTTCCCGATGGGGCTAGTTTGGTCTATAATATGGATGGGGGTGGTGGTCTACCCCTAAGATTTTGCCCTTAGAGTTGAGATAGGGAAGTGTGATAAATGTCCCTAGTCCAACTGTTCAAGGCCTGCTCATTAAATAAAATTAGACCTCTAACTTTAATGGTTTTAAGGTGCAAGGGTGGTTTTTAAAAAGTTCTAAAAGTACGTCGGAAAAATGTTCAAAAATAGTTATTGTGACACATTTTATTACATTCATTTTTCAAAGGCTTTTTAAATATATAAATAGTAGCCCTGTAGCTTGATTGATAAAAAAGTTTGATTTTCTGAACACCGTCGGTTTGACCATCCTCCACCGCCATTATTTTTAGTTAAATTTCTTTAAAACAATGAAATTGCAAAAGAGAATAAGTGTTCCAATGTTTTAAAGTTATTTAGAATCGTGATAGGGTTAAAGATTCAACTAAGACAGCCCGTTTTCTGAAAAACTCATTAGACACCTTCAGTCTCGTTTTATATATTTTTTGTCATTTATCAATTATTAGACATCAAAGACGATTTTCAAGTCGTCTCTAAATTCCAATGTTCATTGGGACACCCTAGGTCAAATAGTAAAACTAGATATAACCCCTTTATATCATGTTGAGTTTAAACCTTAAATCTGAATATACAACAGTCGTCGCACCCTTCTGAGATATAATTATAGACAGGGTGTCCCACGAAACATGACAATTGGTGAATAGTTTTGAATGTCTTCTTCCATTTGCAGCATATTTCGTTAATAAGATCTTTAACTTCAATATGTTTTCATTTGATATCAATTTTACTATAATTTGACTGCGATTATTTTCAATAACTATACTGCAGGGAAACATATAGGATCATTATCAATCACTTTTAAACATAGATTAACGACACAGTATCCTTTGTATTATTGATAAGGATTTCAAGGGAATACCATTTTAAATCGGACATTGCCATCTTGCAAGGTAGGTCACTTGAAATTACGCTTGCAGTCCCTTAAGTAAGAAGTTTTTAATTAAGATCTTATCAAGTTAACCAGGTGTAATTACTTTACACTCTTAGCCAAACTTGGAAAAAATATAGATTTACATTTCTAGAAAATTATATTATCATCATTCCAGGAAGGTTTAAGATGTCTGAAGGGGAGGGTCAGTTTGACTTATGTTAATACATTTAGGAGCCGTCTTCATTTTTTTGAGGAATCTAAATAAAATTTTGCATATTGTCATCATTTGGGTTTCTTTCTAGTAAAATAAAAAATTGTGGAATAAAATTTTCCCACAATCTATTCCATGTTTTTTTTTTTTGGAAAATAGGGGAAAGTGATTTGAAAACCTTTAACTTCGTTCGGATGTTAGTAATGAGATTCTTGACTACAGGTGTTTCAAACACCTAGCTGGTATTTGAATCAGACTTTTTTGTGAAAAAGCTTAAAAAATTGGGAAAGTTTGTAAGATCTACGGATCTTTTCTTAAATCTTGATGTTCAGGTTGAATCCAGAAATCGTGATCTAAAGAAGCACATGAAGATCTACTCATCTAATTCTATACTTGTTCCTCCTGTATATACGTATATAAATATTTAATCGAGCTTTATCTGAGATTTTATTTGAATTTAATTAAATTTTACTTTAAATGTATCGTTCTGGCCTAAAAGTTTTATATTCTCAAGCCTAAAAAGCTTTTTTACAACGTCTAGATTTACACTTTAAATAGAACCTATAACTAAAAAATATATTTAATGGTCTATATATTTCAGACCATAATGGGCTGGAATAACTGCCTTTGTACTCCAGGTTGTGCAATACTAGGTTTATAAAACATCTTATTTAAATGTAAATGTAACACTGCCTATAACCTTTTTTGAATTTAAGCTCATTAAACTTATGGATGTTATATAAAGTAAATCCAGATCGTTCTTGTATTTCATCGCCTGTCCTGAACTATGAACTAATGAATTAACAGGTGAAAATACATTCCTAGAGAATTCTGAACTTTTGAAGCTTATCCGAGACTAATTACTCCTTTGTCTCGTAGACCAAGTCCTCCTCTGATCTACCCACGCCGTACTCCTGGACGAGGATGATCTCTTCAATCTAAAGAGAGTCTGATAGAGCAGATTCAAACCGCCTGCAGAGTGTCTCCCTGCTGGGCACCATCGTCTTCACCTCCTACATGGAGAAGTCCTGTCGGAAGCGTCTTCCTTGCTTCTCTAAACCAGGACTGCTGCTATTAAGCAGATAAAGGTGAAGATTATTTATGAAGCTGCTCTCAAGATGAGATCTAATGTCTAACTTAATCTTATTTAGATCTCATCACTGTCCTCAAGATTGAGATCTGATGTTTAACTCAACCTTATTCGGATCCAATCATCATCTATCCGTACCTCCTCTCGGAGAAGTATCCGTTCCTCCTCTAGGAGCAGTATCCGTTCCTCCTCTCGGAGAAGTATCCGTACCTCCTCTCGGAGAAGTCCCGTCGGAAGCATCTGTGTTTCTCTAAACCGGGACTGCTGCTTTCGAGCAGATAAAGGTATATAATCAAGTTTCGTGTGATCTTTGTGAACAATTAAAGACGAAAGTGTGACTATCTCCTCTAACACATGATAAGCCTTTATATAAACTCTCCTTATTATTTCTAGTTATGTATAAGAGACAGCTGGTAACGATCATCCAACTCTAGAGCTATTAAATTCTCCGGCCTAATCAACTTTGTAAGTGTTACCTTAATTCATATAAATTTGTCGCAATTTATTCACATTTAGCACATTGTAAGTGTTATCTTAATACCTAATTGTTGTTACAACTTATTCACACTTAGCACACCTGGAGCAAATTTTAATGTAAACTTGGCTAATTTTATTCATTTAAATCATTCTAATACTAATTTATTATTTTATGCAACCCGTGACTGATGTATTGTTTTTCAGTTCACGGGTCCTAGCTCTGTATCGCTGTACCAGAAATACAGAATATAAGAGACTCATGTGTATTAAAGAGGTGCGCAATGGAGAATTGATGTTGCCCCATCATGTTAATAGCTGAACAATTCCTGTGGATCTAGGTATTGTTTCAAGGGAAAGTGCTAAAATTCCCAAAATGGGCACAAAGTTTTCCCCCCACATTTTGTTTTATTTTAAAAGAAACACAAATGATGTCCATGCAAAGTTTTTTTCAGATTCCTCAAAAAATGATTACATGATTTCCAAATGTTTTCAAATTAGTCAAACTGACCCATTCCCTTTTTGCCATGCCTACTTGCAATCAAGCGCTGAATTTAAGTAAAAAAAATCTCTGACAATAAATAAATTAATTATTAAAATATTCTCGTTTCAAATAAAGTAAAATTTTAAAATTTTATTTCAATATTTTTACAAAATTTCACTCTTTATAAGTATGTGGTGTAACCTAGAACTGATAAAATCACAAGAAAAATGCAAAAATCACAATTTAATTTAAACTAATTGATCGGAATAAATATAATTCAATTTTAATTTTAAATAAGCAAAAATTAGTAATATTAATTATTCATATCGGCGAGCATATTATATGTGTATAATTGGCAAGTTTGCCAAAAATACAATTTTTATAGGAATAGAATGCTAAAATTCGAAATGCGTAACTAAACAAAAATCCACGAATGGAAATGCAAAACAATAATAAAAAGAATAAAATTGACACCAAAATTCTTTGGCACAAAATAAACAATTCTAAAAAGCAACTAGATCTTCTTGTTTAGTAAGAACAGTGGTACAAATAAAACAAATGAAATGAATTTAAAACAACACGGATATATTTTTATAAAAAAAATAACCCCTCCCCCTCCCTCCAGGGGCGTACAGGGGAATTTGTCCAGGGAGTAGCTCGTCACTAGAAACCGTCTGGAAACCATAAGATTTTACTGATCTGAGAGACTGAGCCCACATAGCCCCCCTGTGTACGCCTCTGTCTTCCTCCCCCAGAATTGTAGTAAGAATTATCAAGGATGATACTATGACGTAAAAGGTCAGCTATAGAACTACTTATATTGTTCATAATAATTATTTTGTTAACAGTGGTAACTTAGGCCTCCTTAACCTTGTTTAGGATTCGTCTCATTGTTTACAATTTAACTAGTTTCTGAACTGTCCTAATACGTCACAGTCGTCGTCGTATTATCAAAACAATGAAGACGACTTTAGATTTCAATTTTGATTTCTAACAAGCTATTTAAGAGCAAGGAACTCATAATCATGGAAACCAAGTAAAGCTACCAAATAACAGCTTATCTTTGGTTTCTTGTAAACTTGTATAACGAAAAAAGCTTAACAATAAAAACTTAATTTTAAAAGTAGTCTTCATTATATTGATATAAGTGCCGACTCCTGTAAACAAACCCTTTTCTCCTCTTCTAAGGTCTACTATCAATAGAAAAAAATTAATTTTCCATCGGTAAAATTGAAACTTTCACCCCCTTCCCCGGATTTGCAAACATTTGCAGAAGAGGGGAGGGGTGATTAGTAAAAACATACTCGTGTTGAAGAATACTACAGATCAATTGAAAGCCAATTGCAAAACTACTCAGGGTTTAATATCACGGCGGGGAGGGGAAATATTGGTTGATAACTTTCAAGGATTACTATAACAAACAGAACAATAAGTATAAAAATAATTTTAAGTACAATAATATTTAAAGATGAAAATTCATGTTCAAAAAACTTCTAGTATAAGTTGTACTGAACCAACACTTTACTAGTCTAAGTCTATAAATTTAAGTTTAGTGTACTTGGGCAAGAAATAAGAAAATGTGGCCCCAATAAACAATAAGATTACTAAGATTATTTATTATTTACATTATTTATTATTATTTCCCGTCTAAAAATGTTCTTTTTCTTAGTTTTATTTGTTTCTATCGTGATTTTTCGTTCATTAAAGCATTAACAATAAGAAAAGTCAAACTTAAAACGATCTTGATGGTAAAAATATTGTAAATTACCCCCCCCCCTTCCTCACTGAAAACTAATGTAAAGATTATAATTTACTTATTGTGACACGAACAGACTTATTTTTACTAAGCTGTAATTAAATACAGATCATTTGTGAATCACAGTTTCTAGTTGTATTTGTTGTAACATCGCCTCTTAAATTCTTATTATCCATCTCAAATCTCAAAAGGTTGACTGGAAAAACTTTCCTTTAGTTCAGTAATGCTATCCAAGCGTCCATGTTTACAAACTTTTCCTTGCACTGGGACGAGTTCAGTTGCGGATTTTTGCAACTAACGGGATTTCCTTGTGCAAAGTGTAATCTCTCCTTTGTAGGATTAAAAATGCGTATGAAGTATTTTTCTGTACGCATTTCTCATAACTTTTACATTGAAATGTTGGAATCATTCACAGCATTGAAAACCTTGTAGAGCCGCCTGCATTGTAGGTTAATTAGAATGCGTTGTTAACTAAAGTTGACATTTTGTTTAGGCCTGCCACTTAAACTTGTCCGCCATTAGCCATTGTTGTGATGAATCACCGGTGCATTGCGCTAGTTTCGGCGTGGAAGGATCCGCCATATTGGATAAACATCTTAACAATATATATAAATAGGATCAAATAACGCCAAAAGTGAATTTCTCTGTGTTGTAACAAAAATATAATGGAGGACTTAGCTTTTAAATTATTTAAATGGATTTCCCTAATGGATCTAAATATAAAGCCTTTTTATAAAGTGTTAGTGAAAATAAAAATATACCTGGCAGTGTTGACATGTCTCAATGTTTTATCCATTTTATTGTAAACCCAGGCCTGGTTCCCGCCCATTCCGTGGCATCTAAAAAATGGTAAAACTATAAAAATAGTAAACAATAAAATAAAAACAATTTTTTTTCTCGTTTATTTTTGGTTCAAATAACGTGAAACAGATGTTTTTCAGTGGGCCTTGGGCTCATTTAAGAAAATCTATCTAAAATTACTTTTCTACAAATTTTAATCCAAGGTTAATTGTAAAACGTACTAAACTCATCCCACTCTAAACCTGGTCATAAACGTTTCAGTAATTTCTTCACACTAAACCCACTTTGTGACCTCGTAGCTCCTCTAGTTTTGATTTCATGCCAAGTATGTATTTAATTACATACAAAATGTATAATTTAAGAAGTTCTTTTCTGAATAAAAACATGTAAGATATCAATATATACTTTTAATTTGAAGTGGCTTTCACTTAGAATATTTCCGAAATATTTCATACTTTCGTCGACACTGGCAATTTGTGTTTCATTTTTTAGGGATAAAAATTTTGGATCTGGATCCTAAGTATTGATATAATTCCATACCTGACAAGTTTGACCGGCCCGTCCTGTGTAGCGGCATCAAGGCAGTTGTCATCAGACATTACTTGCTGGCGTTTAGTATAAGCAAACACCTAAGAAATCAACCGATCAATCAATCATTCAACCAATAAATCAGTCAATCAAGTAATAAATAAATCAACCGATCAATCAATAAGACAGTCAATCAAGTAATAAATAAATCAACCGATCAATCAATAAATCAGTCAATCAAGTAATAAATAAATCAACCGATCAATCAATAAATCAGTCAATCAATTAATAAATAAATCAACCGATCAATCAAGCAAGCAACAAGTAACCAAGCAAACAGTATTCAAGCAACCAACAAAAATGCAGTTTAATCACTTAAATTAAAATGAGAAAAAATCCGATAGTCATTCGAAACTTTGTAGAAGACTATCCTCATGTTTTGATTCTTCAATTTCAAGATTGGAAAATTTTAGTAAAATAAAGTTTTTGTGATAAAGGCCCATTTTCATCTTGAAGACGATTGTGGGAAATGCAAATTTTTGCTTTTCCACGGGTTACCTCAACCAATTTTTCCTAACGCTCTGGATGTTTTGTAGACAAAATTGGTCTTCGATGGTAAAATAAATTTCCCTTACCTTACCTTCCCTGTAAAGTATTTGTAAATAATATTACCTGGTTTCCTCCCAGTCCGTGACAATAGGATAGACCTAATTCCTCACCACTCTTTCGTCCCATAGTATCCAGGCAATTATGTGTAGCATCATTCCTATCAGGTAAGTTGTGTTATAGATCTTCTTTTGGTCATGGTTTCGTTTTTACACAACCAGGGACCGAGTTTAATTAATTGAAGCGGTCACTGATCTACCTACAGCCAGTTTAAATATTACAATTATATATTCAGATCCTAGTGGATCTTTATTCTTGAATCGGCAGTAGGCAGTTCAACGACGAAGCTCAAATTCATTGAATTTGGTCATATGGCCTTTTTTTTTTGACTTTTAAGAAGCCCAACAAAAATTCTGAGATGTTTCTATCATATTCTAAAATTTCATGTCTGCTCATCTCTTCTCAAATTGATTTGATTTAAAAATTATGAATTTTAGCTTTAGAATATTTTTCAAGAAATTCTCTGTAGAAAAAAAATAAAACCACATCCTCCTGTATAAGAAGATCATAAGTTACCTTATTTCTCCTAGGAAGAAGTAGTCCAAAGGCATCTGGGACTCCGGGTATATATTCTCCAGATACCATCGGAATGATTTACATTTCAACTCTTCTCTCAGCTGTTTACGTGGACTAGAACAAGAATCTATTTATATAAAAAAGTAATCTCTGTTTGTCTGTCGGATCATAACTCATAACCCTGGACCGAGTTGCTTCAAATTTTGATTGGAGAACTCGAGAGAACCACGGTAATGTTCTTAACTTGGTTTTAAGATTTTAAGTCGAGGGGTTGACTTTTACAGGAAAAAAATATCTAAAATAAATCGTAATTTAAGCGCGGGTAAACGGTGGAGTAACTATGAGTAACTATGAGCAACGCTAAGTTCCTAAGCTAGTATATTATAATTACGAAATAGTGATAAATTCCTCCCTTTTATCGTAGTTCTTCTGGCCACCCCCCCCTCTCTCTTCATCAATAAGTACAACCTCAAGTGATTATACTAATCCAGGTAAGGAAGGACAAGCTTGATAGAGTCGCAGGAAGTTGTCATTTTTCAGAATAATGGGGTGTGTACTGTGTATAGACCAATGGCACATTAGATAAAGAATCCCTCAAAATTCAAGAAAAGCTCAAAGACAGTTTTATTAGTAAAAAAACTGACCTAAGATCTCCGATCTCTACATTTCTAGCTCCTGGATTCATGGAATAATAGAAATCCCGCCACTCGTCCATCCAGACCTCAGCGACCCTGGCGGCGTTCTTGTTAACTATTTTAGCTACTCCGCCTGGGAAGGTGTAGGGGGATTTATCTCTGAACACGTGACCAACATGGGAGCAGGGGATGATCTCTAGAGTGCCTCCACACTGCCACACCCTGTAGGAAAAAGTGTTATCAAAGGTCAAAACTTTTGAGTGATGTTATATAGCGCTTATCTACAACGCTTTTAATCTCAATCTCCACAACTAACTATCTAATTTTACTCACTTACCTACTTAAAATTAGTAAGTGAGTAAATGACGACAACTGTTTAGAGTTAGCTACTATTAAAACCAAGAAGGAATGACGTTAATCTCATTTTCTTTTTTTTTATCATAAAATCCAAAATTTTAGATGAACAGAAAACGCATATTAAGTTAGTGAATTAAAACAAATGTTAAGACTTCAGTGTACTGCATTTTAACATTTCGACCAGACTCAATTGTAAATAAGCTGCAGTGCGCTTAAAGTTAATTGTTTTCACAAATCTACAGAGATTGTTTAATGTTTATAATTCTGGATGGACAAATTGATATATTTTTAAATTAAAATTTGAGAATATAAAAACATAAAAGTTGGGAATTTTTTATTTAACATAAAATTTTAACTGTCTTTATATGACATTTTATAATAACAGTTGTATTTCATATCTATTCGATTTCAATTAAATTTTTCTTTAGCTGTTGCATTAACTTAACCAGTCAGTCAGTCAGTCAGTCAGTCAGTCAGTCAGTCAGTCAGTCAGTCAGTCAGTCAGTCAGTCAGTCAGTCAGTCAGTCAGTCAGTCGCTTAGTTGGTTTTCTTCCCTATGGCGGGTTAAAACTAATCGGAAATCCCTTTCTTCCCTTTGGCAGATTTCAAATATCTCCGATTTTAAACTGAAATCGCTATTTTTGGAAGCCAAGAGTTTTTGTAAAGGTGGATAAACGCTATCATGATTGTGTCGGTGACATCTTTTAGATAAAAGCTCGGGTCTGTAAACATATATTTTCTTTTAAAACCAAATAAAAAATTTACCTGAAGGACATTTCTAGATTTTCTCCTCCCCAGATATCCATTCCTTCATCATATGATCCAACCTACAAAACATTAGGTTTTAGAAGATGTGGTCCTGGGGACGGGGTTCTAAAAGCGGCTTATGGGGGGATGTCACCCCCTGGAAAGTTGGGGAGACGTAATCCTCCCTGGAAAACTGGGGAGACGACCCCCCCCCCTGGAAAAATTAGGAGAGCAAGAAGAGAGAGCAGATACCTTTTAGCCTTTTAATTTTGATTTTTTATTCAAAATGACGATTTTTTCTAAAAATAAAAATCTTGCTAACACACTTTCAACTTTCCACCTGGTTTTACAAAAAAGTGACCAAATTACATTAAAGAATTTCCAGGGGGAAGAAAATTTTTTGCCAAGTGGGGAAAAATCGAGGCGCTTCAATTATTACCCCCTACCCCCTCTGGAAAATATCATAAACCGCGCCTGGGGAAAGGGAGATTCCACCCTGGAAGGTGTGGCGGCCTGGGAATCCTTAAGAGTTATTTTCCAATATATATTTCCATGTTGTATAAACTAAGTTGCACGGTCCAAAAATAAAAAAGGTATGTCTTGTAATAATTCACTAAACTAATTTTCTCTTCATTATTATAATCAAAAAATAGATTAAATTGTAATAAAACATATGTTTCTTTTCGATTACCAGCTAATTAAGAGAAGAATTGATAGATATTTAATTTTAACTATATTTCTTTTAAACATCTTTAATAATTGTCACACTTTTAAGTATTAATAAAAAGAGTTATTTCAAAATTAAAATTATAGCTTTAACAGTTTAATATTCCTTTTTAAAGGGATTGTTCACTCTTTAGATATTCGGAAGATAAAACCATTGATCAATGATTCTGATCAGACCTATCTCAAGTTTCTCACATACCCCCATAACAAAAGTAACTGTACTGGGAGGTTTTGGTACAAAAGTATTTACATATTTCTGAAAAATATTTTTTTTTTATAATCTTATACATGTTTCTAAACAATTCAACATATTTCTGAACAATGCAACCTATTTCTGAACAATTCAGCATATTTCTGAACAATTCAACATGATTTTGAACAATTCAACATATTTCTGAATAATTCAACATGTTTCTGAACAATTCAACATCAGGGGCGTACGAGGTCTTTTGTTTAGGTGGGGCATATTGTGCGCAAGCGCGCAAATTTTTTTGGGGGTTCCCCCCTTTGGCAACATTGTTCCCCCCCCCTTAAAAACCCATTATTTGAAAAAATATTGATACCTTTTTTTAAATTTTTTTTAATTCAACATGTTTCTCAACAATTCAACATGTTTCTCAACAATTCAACATATTTCTGAACAATTCATCATATTTCTGAACAATTCATCATATTTCTGAACAATTCAACATATTTCTGAACAATTCAACATATTTCTGAACACTAAACAAAATAATCAAGTTTTTTTTAATTTCAGAAATGAAACATTATCAAAATACAAAATTTTTTTAATGGGGGGGTAGGGGGGGGGGATGTTCCGTAATCCACTAAATTTACCTCATAAAAGTAGTCTCTGTCTATACTGAAGAGCCCTCCTGCCATAGCTGGTGTATGAAGAGGTTCTGATCTATCCCCGTTCCTTCTATCCATCTCTCTCTGGGGTACTCGATACCATCTAGATAATAATATCAAATCAAAATCAAATTAAAGAGACTGTTACCGTAGTTTCAAGCCACCCTCCGTGCAAAGATGGCAATGCCGATCTACAACGGTACCCTTAAAAGTATATCCATGTTTTTATTTTCATGCTGGTTTCTCTGAAAAAAATTACTGGCCTATCTCTTACTTATGAGGTTTCAGGTTGGTTGAAATCTTAAGTAAGAAAAATGGAGAAATTATCAAAATTAACACTTTTGAGATTCTGACTAAATCCGACTTTGCCATCTTTGCATGGTGTGTCAGTGGAAATTATGCTTATTGTCCCTTTAAGTCATGAAATTTACCTGAAGTTGAGTTTCCAGTTGAACCCGCCCCAGGTCATATCACTGGCAGTTATATACTCAAAACTTTCATCTGAGATAACATCAATCACAGGACACACGACAGCTTTCCTAATCAATCATCAATCAATCAACCGACGAACCAATCAATCAACCAATTTATCAATCAATCAACCAACCATTCGACCGATCGACCTTATAATCAATCATTCGGCCAGCCGACTAATTAATCAAACAACCAACCATTCGACCGATCGACCTATCAATAAATCTTTCGGCCAGCCGACTAACTAACCAATCAATCGACATAAAATTTATGAAGTAAGGACATGGTTCGTAGTAATAAGTATGAACACTTCCATGAAGACGGAAATTGAGTTTTAATGCTATAAAACCTTGTTAAACTTTTTATGTATTTTACATTCAATTCATATCTTTATCCTCCGAATTAATTCCACTTTTACTGAGGAATCATTAACTATCGTCTTCACTTCAATTTCATCGATCAATTTCTTTATTTCTTTTCTGTCTCCACAGTATTAATTGATCAAAGAATAATTAAAGTAACCATTTAGTTCCTATTTCTTAATTTCTAAATTTCAAAATTTGTTTTAAAAGTTTGAGAATGAGTCAAAGACTAATGTTTTTTATGTCAATCAAGTTTTTTTTCATTCCTAATTCTCGGAAAAAATAAATTAAATTTTCTATTTGAATCAAAACTTAAGATTAACTATTTTTAATTAATTTCTTGTAAAACTTATTTTTTCAAATATCAATTAAGAGAAAAGTTTTTTTTCATCTTAGTTAATCAATCTTTTTAACTAATTGGTTTTGATTTTTTTCTTCAGGGGTGTTTATTTTTTAGAAGGGCGGGTTGATTCTTGTGGAATTAGTGAAAAAACTGAAAATCAAAAGACAAGTTTTTTTTCATTCTTTTTGATACTTTGCCCCCAAAAATTTCTTTCCCTCCTTAAAATATTATTTTTATAACTTAAAATAAAGTTTACATAACTTCCGACGAAATAAGATTTTAAAAAAGGGGTGGGGGTGATTTCTCGAGAAAATATACATACACCCCTGGATTTTTTACATTTTATTCATATTTTGACCAACCTGTTCTTAGCAATTTCAGCTAGAAGGGGTTCTAACCAGCCCTCGGTACATTCACAATGGGCGTCCAGGAAGGTAATCACAGATCCCTGGTGTCAACTTAGCTTTAACTCCTGCTTTGAATTTCCGGATTCATTAGATCCGCAACATTTTTTTCTTCCTGGATCCAGAATCCGGGTCCAAGTCGAATATTATCAAACAAAAAGAGAAAAGAAGTTTTGATCTCAAAACACTCACTTGAGCTGCTTAAACTATAACTTGGAACCGAATTCAATAAATTTGAGTTAGGTCGCTGAACTATCTAACACCGCGGTTCATTTCCTGAATCACCGAATCACCATTAAAAAATCATGAGAATTTGAATCATCGATTCGGGATTTGAACCGGCGGTAGGAAGTTCAGCGACCTCTCCAATTAAGTAAATTCGGTCCTTGGCTGTGTAAGGAGGGGGGACGGGGAGCTTGATGATTAATTTATCATGTTCCAGGATTATATTTTAATGTTTTTTTCTTGAGTTGGAAACCAGACACCACCAGTTCAAGGATATTTGATATCCGCACATTTTTTCAAGTTTAATAATTATTTTAGAATATTGGGAAAACAAACTAAAACTTAAGACAATATCTTAGGGAATTATATTTTCCCCCCAAAAAACAATAAACCAGGACCAAGGGGGAAAAAAATAGGAAATACTACTTGTTTATTGTGATTAACTTCCGTCAGTTATTTTTTACCCCAAGAGATTTCTTTATGATTCCCAAAAGTCTTATTTGAGCAAAAATACGTTTAAAATATTTTAGGTAAAAAATTATTACATTTTTTAAAGAAAATATAGGGAAGCTTATAATGGTAAAGATTACATGTTAAAAGATCTAACCCTCTTCCCCTCTCCCCCCAACTTGTAGAACCAAGTGGATAGACCAGCACTAAAAATGAAATAACAATTTAAAGATAGTTTCCTTGACATTCTTAGCTCCGAGTAGACGAGCACGAATCAGGCCAGATCTAGTACCAGTCCGCAGTACATGAACTAGAAGTACATTTAATATTAGTCCGCAGTACATGATCTAGCAGTACATTTACTTATAGTCCGCAGTACATGAACTAGAAGTACATTTACTATTAGTCCGCAGTACATAAACTAGAAGTACATTTACTATAGTCCGCAGTACATGAACTAGAAGTACATTTACTATTAGTCCGCAGTACATGAACTAGAAGTACTTTTACTATTAGTCTGCAGTACATGAACTAGAAGTACATTTACTATTAGTCCGCAGTGCATGAACTAGAAGTAAATTTACTATTAGTCCGCAGTACATTTACTATTAGTCCATAGTACATGAACTAGAAGTACATTTAGTATTAGTCCACAGTAAATGAACTAGAAGTACATTTACTATTAGTCCGCAGTAAATGAACTAGAAGTATATTTAGTATTAGTCCGCAGTGCATGAACTAGAAGTACATTTAATATTAGTTCGCAGTACATGAACTAGAATTTCTTTTAATATTAGTCCGCAGTACATGACCTAGAAGTACATTTACTATTAGTCCGCAGTACATGAACTAGAAGTACATTTACTATTAGTCCGCAGTACATGAACTAGAAGTACATTTACTATTAGTCCGCAGTACATGAACTAGAAGTACTTTTACTATTAGTCTGTAGTAAATGAACTATAAGTACATTTACTATTAGTCCGCAGTACATGAACTAGAAGTACATTTACTATTAGTCCGCAGTGCATGAACTAGAAGTGCATTTTCTATTAGTCCGCAGTACATGAACTAGAAGTACATTTAGTATCAGTCCGCAGTACATGAACAAGAAGTACACTTACTATCAGTCCGCAGTAAATAAACTAGAAGTACACTCAATAATAGTCAAAAGTACATGAACCATAAGAACATTCAAGACAGTCAAAAGGACATGAACTAGAAGGAGACTTAAGTACATGAGCTAGAAGTATATTTAATATCAGTTAAAACTAAATGAACTAAAAGTACACTCAATCAAGTCAAAAGTACATGAACCAGAAGAAAATTCAATATCAGTCAGAAGTACATTCAGATCACTCAAAAATACATCAATTTAAGTACATTTTTTCGTGAGAAGTGAAATTTTTAAAACACATCTCTTTCATTCTATTTCAACCTGGAACAGATAAAGTTTTCACATAGTTCTCCAGATCCTCTCCTAGATGTGTGTGCTCGGAAGCATCATCCACTAGGATAATTTCTTCCACTAGTTCTCTTGGAGACCTAGATATAGAATACATTAGTACTCCAGATCCTCTCCTAGATGTGTGTGCTCGGAAGCATCATCTACTAGGATAATTTCTTCCACTAGTTCTCTTGGAGACCTAGATACAGAATACATTAGTTCGCTAGGAGACCTAGATATAGAATACATTAGTTCGCTAGGAGACCTAGATACAGAATACATTAGTTCGCTAGGAGACCTAGATATAGAATACATTAGTTCGCTAGGAGACCTAGATATAGAATACATTAGTTCGCTAGGAGATCTAGATACAGAATACATTAGTTCGCTAGGAGACCTAGTTACAGAATATATTGGTTCGCTAGGAGACCTAGATATAGAATACATTAGTTCTCTAGGATATCTAGAAACAGAATATATTAGTTCTCTTGAAGAATTAGATACGCTATTTGTTAGTCGTAAATTATTAAATCAAGATTGTTAAAAAATAAAATGCATTCCATAAAAAGCTCAAATTTAAAACCACATCTACTTGCACCTCGAGATTGAACTCTTTATTAGCAAACAACTATGCGAAAAATTATTTTAAAATATATTTGACTAGACCAAGAACGTTCCAGAGAATAAAGTATATTAGTATTTTATTGTTTTAATACAGTAATTTCTGGAATTTAGGGTTTTCTATTCTCAATGAACTATTCGTTACTATGTATCCATTAAGATAAAATAAGAAGATAAGATAAGAGAGGATCTGAAGACCCCCCCCCATTTTGGAGAGCCCAGACCGCCATCGGGGCTAACTCCCATGAGCTCCGGCACCCCCCGGCTCCCATACTTACGATGGGAAGATGCTACCAGTGGGTCGGGCAGAATCCATTATATATTAAATATGAACAAAAAAAGCCAGCAACTCAATATAGCTCCCTGCTTTTATTAAATCTAGAAGAAAACTATAACCTTTAGCATAATAAATCCTTACATCAACCAAAGAAAATTGGAAATACGATGCAAAGATGCAAAAAAACCATACTGCAGAATGTATACTGCGAGGAAGTGTTTTCTCTTTCAGTGATATTAATGGACAATATTTACATCACTTAACACCTAGAAAGCCGGTAATGTATGAAAGGGTATCATTATAAATCCGGATACTGTAAACTGGGTCTTGTGAATGGGTTAATTCATTTTTTAAGATATTGAAAATTTTAGTTTAACAATATCAGTGGTGTATATTTTTCATGAAAAATCTTTACCAATAATGAAAATCATTTTGTGCCCCAAAATTAAGGTATCAAGGGTCAATTTTTTTAACGGGTTTTATTCGCTTTATTGCATGGGGGGAACTGAATATTGTTTTCCAGCAGGGGGGGGGAGATAATATACCTGTTTATAATTGAATGAATTGTTCTGAGAAGGGTGGTCCACGCCTCATTGTGGAAAACTATCACAACTGATGTTGTCGGTAATAAACTTGCATAAACCTAAAATAAACGAGCAACAATCAACAAATCATTCATTGATAAATAATAGAAACTAGATATTAAAATCAATTAGAAATCCCGCAATGTCTTTATTTGATCTGAAGTGAACATCTTGAATTTTTATTTTTTATCACAATTAAACTATTAACGTGCCTTGAACCCAGATGAGTGGCGCTAGGTATAAATGATCATTTATTCATAACATTTACACTAGTTTAAATCATCATAGTAAAATATACTACACTTTAAACTGAGCTGAAAACTTTAGAATGGTGGATATCGGGATTAATGCTTGATCTCCTCCTTTTCTTAATCTCCAGATTAAATATTGCTTGTTCTCCTCTTGTTATTAATCTCCAGATTAATTAACAGATCAAGATGAAGGATATCCCATTCTATAGTTTTCAGCTCTGTCTTCTTTTAACGATATTATCTTGCAGCGACTGGATTACAGCTGACAAATGCAAAATTACGTGTTTGCAGCAGCGGCCTCAGCTGCTAATCTCTCAGCCAAATAAATCATGAAAAACTAAATTTTCAAAGAAAATGTAAAAAGGAAATTGAACGTGGCTAGTTTTTTTATTAATTATTTATTGATAGCGTAATTTAAATGAGAGAGCGTCCGATTACGCCTTTATCTAAAATTGACAAAATCGTCGCTTTTCTAGCTTGAAGTGTTAAATACTGACAATTTGGTCAAATACGCAAGTGGATTTTTTAGAGACTGAAAATAATGCATTTCTGAAGAGTTGAACATCGATATCTAATTCATGAGGAAAAGCTTTCATGGGTACCGTTGTGAATCGGACATGACACTCTAAGTCACTTGGAGTCACAGTCCCTTTAAATTATGTGTATTATTCTATGATAAAAATTTTGAAGTTAAAAGATTGTCTTAGCTTTTAAATGATTATTTCCATGCATATTGAATTTCATATCTTGTTTAAACCATTAACAGTTAAATAAAAAACGTATTAATAAATGTTTTTATAAATTATTCAAATTAAAGAAAAATCAAATTTAAATGTTAAAGGTGTAATAAGTTTATAAAGTAAACAGGAATTGAATATTATAAATACCGCTCTTTAAATAAAATTTTTCTTAAAATTACGTTTACAATTTCTTAAAAAATTATTAATAAGGAATTCACATGTATAACGGAAACGTCATGTATGCGTGTCCGTACCAAAAGAGTGTGTGTAAGTAATACCGAACCGAAGGCGAGTACTGTAGCTCTGACAGTACATACGAATCTCGATATTTGTACAGTCTAGGAGAGTACATTTGCTAATTGTTAATTGTTCACTTATAAAGTTTAATATACATGTAATACACTATTTACATATTTAAGTCATCACTATAAGCCAAATTTTTTAGCAAAGAATATAACTTGATTAAAGTTTAAAATAAGCTACTCGTTTTTTAAGCTTAATTATCATTGACGACAGTGTTCTGCAACTTCGTTGACTGTAGTCATGTTGTGTGTCTGTACCAAAAGAGTGTGCGCGTGTAATACCGAACCCGTCTGCAAAGCAGTGCGACTGGCTTTCTCATGCCAGACCAGCGCCATTTCCTTACCCTTTATTCCTATTCCCTTATGTAAAATTATAATGAAATTAGAAATCCGCAGGCCTACGCCTACTACCTAGTAATAAAACCAATGTCTCAAAGTTTCAAGTATTCTTAAATAGCCTTTATTTAAAATATAATAATTGCGAAGAAACAAAAATTGTAGTATAGTTAACCTATGATAAATGTTTGTAATTCTAACAAATTTGCTATTGTCAAGTATCTTTATATATAAAGTTGTAATATCTGTTTGTCTGTTTGTTTGTCCGATCATAACTTAGGAACCCCTGGACCGATTTGCCTCAAGCTTTGATTGATGAATTCGGGAGACCCCCGGAAATGTTCTTATCTTAGATTTAAGATTCTAAGTCAAGATTGGGCCGACTTAAATAGCGATGAATTAATGAATGAATGAATGAATCAATTCATTAAATCAACTGAATAATTAAATCAATGAATCAATGAAACAATGAATCAATGAATCAATTAATTCATTAAATCAACTGAATAATAAAATCAATGAATCAATGAATCAATCAATTCATTCAATCAACTTAATTATCAATTAATCAATTAATCAATTGATTGATCAAATATTCAATTAATCAATTGATTGATCAATTAATTAATTAATCAATTGATTAATCAATCAACAAATCAATTGATTAATCAATCAACAAATCAATTGATTAATCAATCAAACAACCAACCAACCAATCAATCAATCAATAGTGTTTGAGTCATGAAGATGAAATTTGAATTACCTTAGATTTGCATTGAGATAATCTGACATCTTGAAGAGATCTATTTAATGAGATCATCTCACTGGCGAGCAGATTAAACTGATTTATTTTAAACTTTTCTCTCTTCTCTTCTTCTTTATCCTGAATAGAGAATCATTAAAGGTTTCAAGCCTCAAGACCAGATTAAAGATTTTGCTAAAAATCATGGATTTTTTCATGAATTTTGCCTTTTTACACTGGAACAACAGGACATAAAGTTTTGAAAGTAATATATTTTAAAAAGCAAGGTAAAGGATTTTCGAAGCTGGAAGAAGAAATTGGGGCATTTCCTACTGTAACGATGATTTCCCAAGAAAATAAATTTTCCAAATGGCTATAATGATAATAAATTGAAACAAATATCATAAACCTTAGTCCATTGTCCAAACTTTATTTCTATTTTACAGCTGTATCAACAATACACATACACTGAAGTTAAACAATTGTTAAATATAAAATTGCGATTTTTTTTTTTACTCAATCATAAAAAGGCCATAAAAAGACTATAATAAAAGCAGAATACGTAATTCAACCTTGGAATTGTCATTTTAAAGAGTTTCAGGTCTTCTTTACTGTCTCATTCTTTGTGGGTACCTCTGTATGTAAACATTTATCTTTTTAAAAATTTTTTTTTCTCACCTTGGGTATTTGAACAGGTTTACCCATTTCCCCAGGCATTCCTCTATTCTTGAGAACAGTTGGAGGTTTTGCCCAGGTTCTTAATTTCCCTCGGGGATAACTTTCATTCAAGTCCTCGACTTCACTACTCAAATATAACATGTAAAATAATTTAAAAATATATATTTTTCAATATTTCATGTTCGGACCTTGATACAAATGTTTACATTTTGCCGCGAGAAATTCAAACAATACAAAAAACGAAATATTGAAAATTTGTCAATTTTTAAAATGTTAAATTTTCTTTTTTTTTTGGGGGGGGGGGATTCAACGCTGTATGGTCGGAGAAAGTTAGAATGATCGGTTGAATATTTATAATAATTTTTTATTTATTTTTTATTTTATTAAATATCATGTTATATTCCTTATTTGCTTTGCAAAACTTATTGCTCCTTTTTTCCCTGTTTGTTCATTAGAACATCCAAACCCTGAGATTAGAATTAAACTTTTTTTTCATCAACGAGGTTTATTCAAGGGGGGGGGTGTATATTTTTTTAGAATTAAACCCCCCCCCCATGATTATTGATGATTTGGAAGGGAAATAATTAAAAGTTGGACTTCATAAGACAAGCTTTTTCATTCTTTTTAAATACTTAAAAATTCTTTTATTTCCCTCAAAAAAAGAATTTATATTACCCAGAGAATAAATTCTGGTGAAAAAAATTAATCGCTAGAAAAATGTAGAAAAATATTCTGAGCCATCATGGTCAATGTTAATTTCGTGTTTCGAATGAAAAAGATTGTTTGACTATTGGCTGAGGATTCTTTTTATTTAAGAGAAAGTCACAAAAAATCCACAAAAATATTTTTATTTCCAAAATGATGGCCCTGCTGTAGAGAAGTTCTCCAGAGGTGGGGGTGGGGCCCGGGGGGATAACACAAAAAAAAACCTGTTAAGAATCATAATTTTTTTGTTTAAATCTTTCCTACGCCACTGCTGCAGTCTGAATATGTCATCAGAAATATCATATCTATGCAACCAAACATAGTTCAATGTTGGAATGTATATTGTAGAGTATAGTTAACAAATAAGGGGGCTCGGAGGAGAACGACCTTGGCTCGGACATTTTTAAATATGACGCACTCCTTCCCCTCCTCAAATAAGAAAAATAATGCCAATTGTTCTACTTCTATTTGAAAAGGCAAATTGTATATCGTTCTAACCATTTAAAGGTGTTCCAGAGAACAAAATGGATAGGTTCTGATATACCAATATCTTATAGGGTGTCCCTGCCTGCGCCCTGCAATCCATCCGGACTACCACACAATTGTTTAGCGCACGTGTATTAGTGGAGTGAAGGTTACTTAAATCATTGCGATGAAAGCTTTCGAAACCACAATTTGGAATCTATGTATCCCTAGCAGACCCCAGATGAGAGATGTTGCAATTATAATCTTGCATGTGTGCCTTCTACAACGAATCATGATGAGGTCTACAGATCTTCTTGCAGACTCAAGGGTTCAAGGTCAACAACTTTTAATGGTTCTTGAATTCTCAGAAATCTGTTCTTGAACAAGAATAAGAAAAAGACAAGAATAGGTCTTGGTTCAGGTCAGAATAAGACCTATAACTTGTCAGATTTAACCTATTTATACATTTTTCTGAAATTATTAACATTAATATCGCAGCCTATATCTGCCCTCCTACTCTCATGTTTATATTTTTGACATGCAATTAATTGTATTTTATTCACTAGCGTTAAAAGAAGGGTAATTTCCTAGAGAATGATTTTTGGACCCCTCCCATAGAGCTCGTATATTTTGCACATAGTTAAAGTATGACACGTGACCGCAGCACCCGGCCCACTAGCTTGTCCTCGCCGCAGCACTAGGCACACTAACCTGTCCTAGCCGCTAAACAATCCCATGTTGTTTAATGAAAATCTTTAAGTTACATCATATAAACCTAAATTACTGAAGCTAGCTGTTTCATTTAACATGATTGTTAAATGGGTTCATCAATACTTTCATAAATTCTAATAACCGGCAAACACGTTGTAAGGTGGCACACGAAAAAGGGTGCATAGGTTCTCTGGGTGCATGTCATTCCTTAGCATTGAAATGCAAAAACATTTTTTGCTCTAACTTGATGAATTTAGGTGGAAATAATTTCAAAAAAATCTCGAGGTAATTTCCTATAAAACGATTTTTATCTTCTGCTCCCGGACGTCGAGATTTTTTAAATTTTATTTAGTGTTTATTAGATCTTTGCAATTTAAAAAAAAAATTTTAAACAAGAGCAGTCTTTCGCGGGGTTCGAACAGGCTTTCGCGGGGTTGGAGCAGGCTTCTGCGGGGTTCGAACAGGGTTCTGCGAACTACCTGGGTTCGAACAGGATATTGCGGGGTTCATGGCCGCATGGCCCCCCCTCCCTCGACAAATACTTGCAATCTGCGGGAAAAGGGAGAGTTTAGAAGATGATAATTTGAGATCTATAAGGGACAATCTTCGTTTATATCCCATCTGGTAAACTATCGAAAGTGAAATAAAAACTTTCATTGTCACTTGCCACAAGCTGACGGTTTTATAAGTTATATAATCAATTTTGATAATGTCGTCGTGGACATATTGACATAAGATTTCTTAAAAAACCATTTAGTACATTCTTATGTAAGACGTTTTTTTGTGATTAAAACCGTAAATTACATCACTCGTCTATCTTCAAAATTTAACTATTCTTCTTATGATTCTTCTTAAATTTTCCGATCATGTCCCAAAAATCGTATTTTAGACCCATGTTACGGTTTGATGTGGGACACCCTGTACTTTATTGATTTAATTGATCATTTAAAAAGTTTTTCTCTGATATACAGATCGCGTCCCATATCATATTAGATTATCTCCAATCTTTAACACCTAAATACGCACATAATACTCGAAAAATCTAGCGTTTTCTGCAAAAAATAATTTCTATAAGCCTTTAAATTTTTCAAAAGGATTCATTTTTCTTAAATTTTCTGATTTGTCCTTCAAATCGTAATTTAGACCCATTGACGCGGTCTAATTTGATGTGGGACACCCTGTAAATTGCATGCATATTAAAATACGCGTGTTTGACATTGCTTTTATATAAAGACTAAAACGATCGTGGAATTATTAAAGCAAAATTGTTAAAATTTTACTACAGGGTGTCCCACGAAACATGACAAATAAACGTAGTCATTTTTAGTTAAACAAATCTTTTGCTTGATTATATTTTACTTTGAAATCAATTTTAATAGCTCCCATATAATATATTTATTGCTTTTTGGTATCAAACAACTGAGCAAATAATGGAAAAAGACATTCTAAACTATTCACCAACTGTCATGTTTCGTGGGACACCCTGTACATATTAGGACCTGGAGGCCCTGGAGTTTAGACTGTGAAATCTATGGATTTTAAGGGGTTTTCAGGCCTCAACGGGTGTCCCCCCCCCCCCTGGAAAAACAAAATATTGAGCTCCCCATGGAAAAATTCCTGAATACGCCCCTGAATTTTAGAGAGTACTTATCACTGCTTATCCAATTTCCAACCTACCCCACCACCCCACCAAAATTTCGAATTTTTTTCGTTCATCCTGGTCAGTTACAAAAGTCGTCTTTTAAATCGTCTTCAGTTGTAATAAAATCCTGTGCGGCATTTTCGCAGAATCCCGGGCGAATCAACATAATACAGAAAAATAGTTTTAATCTGATTGATTCTACAAATAGTATGTTGTATAGCCGTAGAGCCTGGTCTCCTAGCCTCTTTCAGCCGCAGCGCTTGACCCAGAAATTTAAACTCCCTGATGGGATATAAATATGTATTATTATTTCATGTTGGAAAGGAACTCGGTAATTTCCTAGTATACGATTTTTGGACCCCCCTCATAAAATTTAGATTCCATGCTCATAGTCCACGCTAATTTATTGTTACATACAATTGTTTGGATTTTATCTGAATGATGAGCTGGTTTAGTAAATCAAAAAAAGGCATTTAATGGATGTAATCGAAAGGAAATTAACACAATTTTAAAGAAATATGGAGAACGTTTTTTTATGATGAGAGATTTGTCAGTCGCTTGAGGTTAGCAAAATTTTGTAGGGTGGGGTGGGAAATGTGTGACACCAGTTCTAGTTAGCTCACTGAAGTTAAGCACACTTTTTCACAGCCAGTAACTGAATTGGTGTCCAGACTGGTGTTTCTGGGTTCCATTCCCGTACGCCCCACAATCCAGTGTTTTCAAAAACATCTGAAGCCGACATCTGGTGAATCACAAGGATAGCATTGGTCATGTGGCCGTAGCGCCCGGCCTCCCAGCCGCAACGCTCGGCCCGGAAATTGTCCTACCCTAACCTTAAAATAATAAATAATAATTTGACTGAAAAACTGGAAAATAAGATGTCATGTACAAAATTGATAAGTTCTCCAGGACAGAACCGACCCTTTAATCCTAGAGAACGATTTTTGGACCCACCCCCGGGCCCCCTTCTATCAATTTTGTATATGACCTAGATATCAACTATTTTCAACAAAAACATATTAACTTTGTATTATTTCATAGTTAGGTTAGTACAGGACAATTTCTGGGCCGAGAGCTGCAGCCAGGACAGGTAAGGGACCGAGCGCTGCGGCCAGGACAGACCTTCAATTTTAACAATTGTCAGCAAATTAGTATATAAATATATATATATATATATATATATTTATAAATTTGGCTTGTCTGTCTGTCTGTCTGTTTGTTTGTTTGTTTGTTTGTTTGTACCCAATAAACGTCAAAACGGCTGACCTTCCCTGGGACCTCACGGAGCCCCAGGGAAGGTTTATGAATGATCAAAATTCAGATATTTTTCTCCATCAAAATTCGATCTTTATTAAATTTTGAAAATTTTGAAAATCCACGAAAGTTTTTGTGAAAATCCGCGAACTATTTTTTTTGTTTTACCATTTACACAAAGAGAACATGTTCACAATTAATTTAGAAGATGGGCGCGAAGCGCCCTATAAGGCTAGTATGAAATGTTTAGGGTTTGGTTAGGTTAAAACACTTTCCGGGCCGAGCGCTGCGGCTAGGACAGGATAGGGTGCCGGGCGCTGCGGCCACATGACCAACTTTATCCATTTATTAAAGATGAGATGTATGTAAAAAAGGATGAGGGGGGGTTAAAGTTTTTTGAGTCTACTCTTCAGTGTATCAATATTTTTTCACAGCTTGTGCAGCATATTATTATCATAATACCAACCTCAACTATCAATCTGAATATTTTTATGAAATTAAAATGTTTTTTTTTTCAGAAGAATGCCCCCGTTTTTGCGGGGGGAGGTAGCGCGCCTTGTTCTCTCCTACACCCTGGAGGAACAGCTGGCGCGCACGACAAGCGCGTTTCTTGCTGAATCTAAAGATATTCCTCAGGTGAAATATTGCTATTTATTAATAGAACCCACGCTAATGTTAACTACGTCAAATTAAGCTTCTTGTCTCTGTTTCCTAGAGTCTAGTTTTATGTGTGTCCAAAGTTTAGTGCCCAATGTTTCTAATGTATGGTGTTGTCTAGTGTCTCTTGTTTGTCAAGTTAGATATTCGCGGGATTTCTATTTGGAAAATTAATTAATTATTTTATAAGCTGCAAAATGTAATATTAGACATCAACTGGCAAAATTCAGGGGTGTATATATTCTTGATAAATAATTCCCCTTTTAAAAATCATGTTTTTCCTCGAAGTTAAAAAAATCTTGCTGAATTTGGGAAATTAGATAAAGTTTGGGTACAAAGTTGAAAAAGGGAAAAAAAACTTGCATTTGAAGTTCAAGTTTTCATTTTTTCCCTCCAGAATTTCTACAAGTATGGCGGAGGGGGTAAAATTTGAAAATATACATAACTGCTAATATTTCATTTATCTTCCCTTGGGGAGGGAAAAAGAATATTTTTAAGGAAAGGGTTGTAGATTGTGTTCAATATAAGATAAACCTTCTGTATATTTGTGTATTCAGGATATGAAGGATATGGATTCTGAGGAGCAGAAGGAATACTGTTTAGTCAACGACAGAACCCTCATGGACGTCTTAAAGGAGTACGTAAGGTTAGGAACCTAATAAAAAGCCACCGTTTAAGTTTATTGTTTGAAGTAAATGATGTACACCCTCGCCTTTTAATTCTGCTCCTCTTAGACTTCTTGTCTTTTTGAGCTATTATGAATTTTGTACACTGCTTTTAATCGTTTCTATTACTCAAATGAAGCAATATCCAAATTTATATAAACCTCTTTAAGGAAAATTTTACTTATTTGTTCAAATTCCTTACGTTTTAAGAGTTTGAAACCATTAACTTGTGAACATTTTTCCCACAGCGCGGTTTTAAAATTCATTACTTTGGTTTCTAAATATTTAATTACTTTGGTATTTGGATCAAAAACACAATTTTCTTAAAACCTTTTATTCATATTATTATATTTAGTCTCGTAAGTGAGGTTAAGAAGATATCTATAGAATTCGACAAGATAGAATATGACAGTATGAAGTTTGAACCTCCGGTTAAAATACTTAGAACAACGATTAATAACATGAAGCGAAAGGTAAAAAATATTTTATATTTATCGGACAATTAACTGTTCGTTTAAAATTATTAATGATGCTCCAAACCTCACAGAATAAAAAATGAGTTAGTTCCACATTTTTTTTGAGATACATTTTGGTCTGGGTGGACCCGCTTCAATCTAACGATATAATAACTATCAAAATCAATATTTAAAAATGTTGAAAAGTCAAAAGAAAACAAAGAAAAAAACTATATAAAACGAGAAAATTAGTTGTTTCCAGGTTAGTGATTACTGATTTGTGATTTTTATGAAAGGAAATGAAATATTTACATTTACAGTGTTGCAGGCCAGATTCAGAATGTCATTATATTGAAATCTTCATCTTCAACGTTATTGATCAAATAAAGGTTTCAAGGGTACTACTGCTATCTTTGCATGGAGGGTCACTTGAAATTACCTTAACAGTCCCTTTAAACACTTATCTCATATATATCTCTTGCAGGAGTTAGAGAAGGGTGCAGAGGAACAGGAGAAACTGAGGAAGAAAGAACGAAAGAAACAATTAAAAACTATGTACAAGGTATAGGGTAACCCACAAAGTATGAGATTGTGAAGACGACCTGAAACTCTTAAAATATGACGATTCCAAGATTTAATTGAGTCTTCTGTCTTGAATATAAGATAAGGGAAGGATCTGAAATATAGTCTTTTAATGGTTTATTTAATGATATGTCTAAGATAGAAAGTTTACAGTTGCAGGGAATCATGAATATAAAGAAACATGCAGTATAAGTTCCGTACAGTCGTCTCTGAAGTCAGATCCTTTTTGGGTACCCCTGTAAAATAAGAAACATTTTTAAAAGCTTTAGAGCACAAAGAGTAACGAAATATTTGAGGGGGGGGGGGGAATAAGGATTTTCATCAAAATCAAACAGTCCAAGTTCATAGCAAAGGTTTTGATCTTCAGAGATTAAAACTTTTTGTTCTAAATTCCGGAGGCAAGCGGTAATCCCCATCTTATTCAAATTAATTAGTTTTGAATATTCTTTCTTGCAGTGCTAAGATCCGGATCTGTTGGATCCGCAGGATATCGGCTTCCTGGATCCGGATCCGCAAAAATATGAGGATCCAAGGGGTAAAATATCAACCAAAAACCCATATCTGAACTTTTGAAGAAAAAAAGATTATAAAAATTTCCTCAATTCTAAATGGTTTATAAGTTTTAGGATAAAAATAAGCGAAAAAAAAGTCAGTAAATTTTAATGAAATGACCTGGATCCGGATCAATTTTTTTCAGTGCGAATCCAGGATCCGGATTCGCATGCTTTCATGGCTGTATACTGCATGGACAGCTAAAATTGAGATATCTAGCACTATTTCTTAATATTTTAGTGGATACCGAGATTATCTGCTATTGCACACCAAAGTTATGATTTCATGTTAAATATAAAGTCCTCAGTAAATTTCAGGTTGAGACGAGAGTTTAGTTTTGAGATGGACTTAAGATCTATTTTATTGAACCTGGAAAGAATATACGAGAAAACTCTGTTTGTAGGAAAAAGAAAATATTAATATTAATATTTAATATTTAGACGATTATCCCCACCAAACCATCGACTGAGGTGGCAGCAGAAATAGTTATACATCTTCCTCCAGCCAGCTCCTCACAAGGAATCTTTTGATTTTATTATAGCTGATGATTGATTTTTATTGATTATTAGTTATGTTTTATTTTTAATATATATATGGTGTTCTACGTTGGGTCCATATTCAGATCTGAAATGATTGATTTATGATTTTAAACGATTTTTTGATGCTGGACATGTTTATTAAGTAGATTGATTTATTGATTGATGGCTGGGTTTCTGTTTTTTGTTTGTATGTGCGTCTGGTTAAAATATGGGTAAATCTGATGTTGACTGAGATATATTAATAATTCAAAATCTTGATTTACAGTTACTCTTCCTCAGGAAGCAGATTTACCAGCTGAGAAAGGTGACGCCGAATGCTTATAAATGATATAACTCATAATTCCTAATTTTTACAAAAATAAATATCAATTTCTTTAGCCCCCCACCCCCCCTCCTTTAAAGCAAACACTATTTCTGAATCACAAGTACTCTCCCCCCCTAAATCTCCCCTCTACTTTATTAAAAATTGTCCTATTTAGAATCCTTGCCTTTGATCCCGTCCTCTACTCCTTTAAAACTTGTCCTATTTAGAATCTCTGCCCTTGATCCCGTCCTCTACTCCTTTAAAACTTGTCCTATTTAGAATCTCTGCCCTTGATTCCGTCCTCTACTCCTTTAAAACTTGTCCTACTTAGAACGCCTGCCCTTGATCCCGTCCTCTACTCCTTTAAAACTTGTCCTATTTAGAATCCCTGCCCTTGATCCCGTCCTCTGCTCCTTTAAAACTTGTCCCATTTAAAATCCCTGCTCTTGATCCCGTCCTCTTCTCCTTTAAAACTTGTCTAATTCAGAATCCCTGCCCTTGATCCCGTCCTCTACTCCTGGCGTATCTATACCTGTGATAAGTATACCTGACTCCAGGCAGACCAAACCATTCAAACCAAACCCAAACCAAACCAAACCAGCAGGACAGAAATCCAAAGAAGATTCAGATGATGAATTTCTTAAAGGTTAGAAACTGGTTCATAGATTCATTGATCTCTGTTAGAGGTATAGATTTAGAAGAATTTCACCTTCCACCCTTTATAGATATTTAGGTGGAATATTAAGTATTTGACATCAAGTGGAAACTTGAGGGTACTCAAGATTATTTTACTTTTATTTCGTAAAACTTCAAGTGATCCTGTATTTAAATAGTGGCATAGCATGTTCAAGTCACATTTTTTCCTATCTCCAAAGTGGAACCCTCAGACTGCCTTTGGGGCTATGGACCACCGTGCAGATAGCGGCCTGGAGTCCAATCCAGTGCACCATTGTGAATCGGAGCATGCCACTCTTTAAATTGGAGTAAAAATATTTTTAACTTGAATTTGTTTAGGTCTGCTGGGAGGGTTGGGAGAGTCAATAGCCAATGTAATTCCTTCAAGTTTAAATAAAGAAAGTATCGGAGATGTAGCGGATAATTGTCTTGAAAACCCAGATCTATTCCAGGGGCTTTACAACCTCTTCGGTGAGTAGATAGATAGATGGATAGATGAAAATGATTGATTGATCGCTTGGTTGATTGATTGATTGATTGATTGATTGATTGATATTAATCACTACAGCAAATAATTTTAAACAGTCATAAAGGGGATGGTGGAGTTGGCACATTTGATGTAGGGGGGGGGGGCCCTGCCTTCATTTTTGGTTCAAATCTTCCAATTTTTTGGATGCACGCCTAATTAGGGTTCGAAATTCCTATAATAAAATCAAATTGAACTTTAATGACCTCTAATGACCTCTAATGACCTCTAATGACCTCCACAAATAGAAAATATTTCAACTATGGCTTAATGCATATCAAACGAAAGCTAGGAA